TGGGCGGGGTCGGGCGAAGGAAGTACGACTGTGAGTCTGCGAGAGAGAGGTAAGTTGCTCGCCTGAGAACTGGGAGCGCGCCGCTTACAGAGATGCTACTTGCATTTCCCGACCCGACGCGCGGCGCCCTGTGTCTGTTTTCCCTTTCACGCTTCCGCCCGCGCTGCCCGGAGTTGCTTGCGCTCGTGAAAAAGCAGGTAGGAACACTCTGCAAGCGAGTTTGCATTTGTCTGAACGTGTTTTGGATGCGATAGAATAGTTTCCGCGTTCCTATTTTGTACATTCCACTTTATTTATTCAACTCAGAAAAAATTACATAACGCTTTTATATAATTAAATACGAATACAAAATTCATAACATTGGTTTCACAATAACACTGTAAAACGGTTGGCAAAATGTGTTATAAAGTATTTTCTTAGATGCGAAAGGCGCATGAGGGTCCTCAAAAGAGTTATAATAATTATGAAATAAAAACTATTTTTATCCTCTAGGATAGCTTGAGGGTGGAGTACTAGTTTCACGTGCTGAGGTTCTGAGTTCGATTTCCGAACGAGAAAAAATAAAAAGTACCTTTCCTTTAAAATCGACTCAATTTCAGAAGCTGGTTAAAAAATATCTCAGACAGGCGGAGTTTGCTAGTTACTGTGAAGGGACTACGTCATGTTTGCCATATGTCTCTCTTACCCCCCAAGCGTAGTTCCAGACATGGGGACACCGGTAGCCAGCCGGCAAAGTTCAACAATCCACCCAAAAAATGGCAAATACGAAATACATACTCTTTAAGTGCTCAGAACCATTTGACGAAATGGTTATCCCTCGAAAAACGTTTATCCACTCTCCCCCCAATAAAAACGCTGTATCCGTAACATCCCTTCAAATTATGCGCATTCTTTGCGTTGAGATGATCAGAAATCCATACGCGATCGCGAAAAACTTCAAATTTCAGGTTGAAGAAAAGGAGTCCCAAGATGATTTATAGACAGACACAACTATTCTCAATTTAGTTTTATTACATCTCTATGTTACAATTACTCGAATGCGCAACAGTTTAAGGAAGATATTTTCTCCATCCTCAGGAAAACGTGCCAGGAGCTCATATCACACATTATCAATAAAACACCATCCAGTACAAGCTATTGGACGTATTATCCCGGTCAGACGAAGTGTACTGCTTAGAGGTCTTGGAAGGTATCGACACCTACCACGATAATGTGTGATATGAGCTCCTGACTCGTTTGCCTAAGGATGTCCCTGAAACTGTTGCGCGTTCGAGTAATTGTAACACAGAGATGTAATAAAACTAAATTGAGAAGAGTCGTGTCTGTCTATAAATCATCTTGGGACTCCTTTCTTTCAACCTCAAATTTACAAAAGACAGGCTTATTCCAACCTTTACAAGAAAAACTTCAAAACAGGCAAAATGGCTGTTCCCGTTATTCACGTGTTAAGGTCAAAACCATATCAGTTTACGTTACAATATTGCAAGGCCAAATTAATAACTTGAATCAATCTACTTATTTTATAAAAAAAGGAAACATAAGTAAATAATTATCGTCATACACCTCATCTCTAGAAAGGATATGCCCCGCGTTCAGCAAATTTCAAGGACGATGGAAGTCTCCAATTCTTAATTTTCAAATTCTGAGCTTCAAGTAGACTCAACTGACGAAGTAACCACTACCGGTGTCTTTGCCTTTGCTGCGAGTCCACAACTAAAATTCGGGAGATCAAGCGGCTCTTGATTCTACTAGTCTCCACAGTGGAGTGTTTTGGGCACAGAGATAATGTTTTTCGTGAAATTGAACTGCGACCGCGAGGCGGGACTTCTCGACGTGTGGCAAAGGAGGTGGTTTAAACATATTTTGTTTAAATGGAATCCTGGCTGTCCGGGAATCCACCATAACCTAGACATTCACACTAAAAGTTCCTGTTCAAACACTGGCAACGCAATCTAAGATGCGGTGTCTTCCGGACACCGAAGACTCCATTAATTCCGTTCAACGCGGTTTTCATATTTTCTGCAACTCACCTCTCGCGGGTATCCTGTGGTATATAACTGATCCATTCATTCCACTTACCTAAAACAAAGGAAATATGCGTTCAATCACAGTAGTAGAAAGCGTTTCATTAAGTCATATTTCTCATTTTCTTTATTTAAACACTGTGAATTTGGAAATAATCAATCACAACTACAGTTTTAATATTTATTACAACTTTCCAGACTTAAGTTTGGGGAAACAATTTTTCTGTATTCAATGGATCTATAATATGCAGAAGGAAAAATGAGAAAGTAACGAAATATGGGGGCCAAATAAATATAACTAAAATGCGAGATAGTGAATAAATAAAAAACAATAAATACGATAATAAATCGACAAAAAATTCAAATTAAAATTATTTACTGTCGAAGCTACGTGGAACATTCTTAAACACAAAAGTAAGACTAGTGGTGCTACATAATGGAACAGGCTTTCGCGTACTAGTTCGTTTTTTAATTTCTATCGTCTGTGATAGTTTTTCGGTCTTGCCCCATCTCATTGACAGCTGCCATTTATCACCGTGACTATATTTGGTAAGAAGAAAAGGTTATGAAATCGTACTCCGGAAGACAGGAAATATTTTTGAAACTGTCTCCTTTTATCTGCTTCCTAACTCTATTCGAAATATGACTTTTAAAATATATTGAACAGTAAAACTTCGTACTAAACGGAAATTTCCGTTGAAATATTTGAAGAGCGATTTTATAAAATGACAAATCGGTTTAAACTCGAGTCTGTAAAAGGGCAAATTTTTAACTGCCATTTCACAAACCCTTTTTTTGTTTTCGAAAAAGACTTCATTTGAAGTATTTTAATTCAAAAAAACCAGTAATGTATACAATCGCTTTAAATTTGCCGTTAATACTGCGTCTGAGAACTAATGAAAATAACACTATCAGTCATTCTTTGAAAACCAAAAGAATATATAAAAAGCCATAATTATATGTCACCTTAAATAGCACAATTCAATATTTTCCGACGAAAAGTTTGAAACAAAAAATTTATAAGCCATTTTGTGAAATGGCACTATGAGAGTTTCTGAAATGGCGGTAATTGTGAAACTCTCGTTTACCAGAAACGTTTTGAGTGGCGTGAAACTTTATGTGACGTTATCGTAACGCACACATGTTCCCGCACTATGCAATCAATGGAACACTATCATCTGCTAATGCTGTAAATATTACACCACGTGGGAGAAATGTTAAAAAAACATTCTATAATGTTTGAAAACCAAATCAACAGAAAAATTTGCGTTTTTTGTATCTCGAGATAGTACATTATTCGTACATCGGATATTACAACACTATTCCTACGAAAGTTGTAAAGAAACAAGAGTTTTTAAGAAAATCTACCTTCTTTAACATGGACACAATTTTCTAAAAATGCGCATTTTCCTTCGTTAAATAATCAATATGGAGAAAACAATTAGTGCGAAGAAAAATCATCTATCATCAATTCTTGTAGAGTAAGAACTGCTCAAAAAATTCTGAAGTTTGCCATTTTTGCGAGAGCAATAGTTTAATAGGGAATCCGGACCCATTCACTTCTTAGTGTATTTTACTCGTATTTATTTAAAAAATATTTAAGAAATATTTCGGAGACCTGTTTCAATGAATTTTTTTGAAAATGGACTGGGCGCTTTAATCCAACAGTACCCCAAATTTAAGATTTTTTATTCTGTGTGCCTCGGCGTCAGGAGCCAGGATCGACCGAAATACTTTCATTTTGGCTTAATCTTAAGATAGGTTTATTGGCTAATGTTTTACAACAGAGAGACAGCAGCAGAGAGACATTTAAAAAAGACACGTTCTCTATTTTAGGAAGACCACAAACGTATATTCCGTTGAAATTCGAAAAATCGACTGTCACACAGCATTACAATAACTTTCTCTCTACTACGTTGATTAGTTCGTATATTGCTTTGTGTTAAGAATTTATTTAGGGAATCATCACTCAATCGCAGGAGATTGCATTCAGCGATAAAAAAAATTTTAAACAATTTAAAACTTACGAAGTAATTTCAAAAATCTTAATATTTCTGACCGTTAAAACATTCCTTAGATAAAATCCAGTCATTTCAGATATGTACTTGTACTTACTAGCCCTTCCACCTTCCAGTTCCCTCTACCGTTCGCTTTCTAGATTGTAACTTCCCCCTATTTCTTAAAGAGGGGGGCCTTCTAGACCGTTTCCAGCTCCATTTTTAAGACGAAAGGGAGGATTCATTGATCTTGCATGTTTGAAGCCATTTTTAAATTGAGCTCGTTGCTGATTGCGTCACAGCATGGTGCAAGCCTGCAAGTAAAAAAAAATAATTTCTTAATTAATTTTTTATTTTAGTATAAAAGAAGCTTGCATAAATGTTTACAAAAACTCGGAAAATTAATATCAATGCAGTTTTATCGACATCCTTAAGCTTCTTTTGGCACAATTCAGATTGAAAATTGAAAATATGAAATATCATACGGCAGGCGTTGAAGGGATACTTCTTGGATTTTTTTCACTTCAGATTCGATTTCAGAAAACAGAGAGATATGGAGGAATTTCTTAACATACCCAACTCCAAAGAAGACAGTGAAAATTTCAGAGTACTCATTGATGGATGTCCGGAACTTGAATCTGTATACTCTGCCTCCCAATAGGTGAAAAGACAGCAATGAAGATGACACCAATAGTAATTCAGAATGAAGCCCGGACAAAATCGAGGTGGATGATTTACGAAAAATAGCGCTAGCTGAAGCTGCGTAAGTAAGAAGGAGCGCGGCCAACAGACCGCTAGCTCTAAATTCGCACCACTCGCGAGCATCAGACGTCACCTGACCTAAGTTACTAGAAAACACGCAATCATGAATCTCCGGTCTCAGCCGAGTGCGTTCCAGCTATGTTATCCAGTTCGCGCCGCCGAATTCCCTGGAGCCAACCGCGTCTCTGACGGCATCCACACACTCAGCCGGCTGATTTGGGTTGGTGGTTACAACTAAAAACTGTAAGTATAGTGGACTTACAGAAAGAAAAACCATTATGAACTCTAATAATAATCATTTGGTCCTCTGGCTTACCATGAACTCACTAAAATAAACTATTCTCTTGTACATACCAAAGATTTGTTGTCAATTCATTTACAACTGTCTACTGACAAATTCACCCCAAAAGGAAAAAAAAATCCCGTGATCCCCGTTTTGCAGCACATCCTACCGCATTGCATCTGCTAGCTCTTCCCCTGTTCTGGCCTTCCAATTTTTCTCCTCTATGGTCATGGTTAATTAATATTGCAGTAATTTTTCCTTAGAGGAACTTGGAAAATCAGTAATTTTCTCTTGCCGAGACGAAGTGAATCTGCTCGATGATGCGATGTGATAATGTGATAATGCGATCGCTACACTACGTCACCATTTTCTAGCTACATCGCACTCTACGTTGCATTGTCTGGTAATCCGACAGATGTATTTGTATACGCACAGTAAATTAGTTCGGATTACCGGGATTCCACTGCATTCGGACGGCGCAATTCAGTTGTTTTCCGTTCGATCCCCTAGCGGCGTCTTGTGACAGATTATTCAGAAAACGTACAGACACTGGGTGCGCGACTTATGGCTTTTATTCTTCTACTTTGGGATTTTAAAGTTTCTGAACAGAAACTATGTGAGAATCCGCACGGAAACTGTATCGTTAATACTCGCCTTTACTGTTGTGTTAAAGTGTGATCCACGTTGCTATGAGAGTAAATAATTCTTCATTTTTATTAATTATAACTTTTATGAATTATAACTTTTATGAATTATAATAATTATATGAAATTAAAAGACGTACACAAAAAATGACCCTTCTTAATTGCAAATCTGAATTCCTTCTACTATAATATTCATTTGCCTTGGCTACCAGATGGTGAGAATTCCAAGGGATAAACTGGGTCGTTACGACCTTACCTACTGTTAACCAATTTAAGTTTACAAAAGAAATTATTTTATGAGTTCAGAATTATTTACACTTAACCTTGGGTTTCAAAAATTTGAATGGGTGATATCTACAATAAATTTACATACAAAATAAGCTTTAAAATCAACGTATGAGTGAAAAATATAATTGAAACTTCCTTTTTACTTTACAGTCTCTTATTTATGCGTTTATTTTTCTTGAAAATCATTTATTTAATTGAATCAGTTCTTTAGTTTGGGGTTTAATCTTGGTATTAATAATTTGACTTTACAATACTTATTACTCCTGACTTCATCCACATGGCAACGCACGCTTCTAAAACATGGAAGGGGTGAATGCCTTTGCAGGTTCTGCCTTCTTTACGCACTTACCGCGAGTGTCCGACGCTGGCAACCCACATTCCCCTTTCGCTGACCTCGCCTCACGGGCAGGGCTCGGCGTTGGCCCGGCCTCGACGCGCTGGCTGGCCTGGTGGTGCCTCGTCGGAGACGTCCTCGACCTCGGGGTTGAACCTTCCTCCAAACACCAAACGCGGAGCCGATCGGCTGGTCCCAGCGTTGAGCTCGCCACTTCTCGGTTGAAAGTGCTCGTCCCTCGTTCCTTTCAACTTGCGTTTTGTTCCTCAAAGCGCGTCGACTGGAAGCTTCGAGTGTTCGAGTTTTCGTCGCAACTGTTCAATTATATCAGGAGGTGGCAGTACTGTTTCGTAATTGAGCGAGTTTTTAGTTCACGGCTGGAATATGTCCAAAATGGTCGCCAATGTTAGATTTTTACTTCTGCTGGCGATGGCTGGCGTTGTGTGCGTTGATGTACCGTTGCTTACTCGAAAGAAGCTTCCGTCCGCTCGTAACACAGTTCTTTTCTAGTCGACCATCCACAAGCGGCGTAGTTTATGCAAGTATTCCAGTTTATAAACGATGGCTTCTGTCCATCACGTCGAACACCAGGTTTTACGCACGGATTATTTCCTTTAACTATGCGACATATGGCCGGAAAAATAACAGTTCGTAATACGACGGATTAAACACAGTAAAACACTTTCAACTGCTCTACTTAATTCTTTAACGAATTTTAGCACTATAAATGTTAGCAGACAAAATTTTTGATTGCTCGCGTCAGTAACTTCTAGCAGTCTGTTTGCTTCAGTCGATGTTCGGAGACTGTTCATTTTCTTTACGGAAACGAGATTTTGTGCGCCGGTTCCCTCGCTTTTGATGCGATGGCCAATGTCGATTTCCAGTTTCTTATCTTTTCAGTTTAATTTTGCCATTGGTCAAGTTGATGGTGCTGGCTTTCCAGCCGTTTCTTTTAACGACGCATATATTTGAGCTCGTCTCTGTTTAGTACTGTGTAAAAAAACGCAATATGATATCAAATAATATTAGGAAATTAAGATGTATTTTTCATTGTTTTTTGTTTCAATTAATAGATTTTTCTAAAGCTTATCATTATAACTTGGTACGTATCATCGAGAAAAAAGGAGGCTTATTATTTTTTAACAACAATTAATAATAAAATTTTAAGAAAGTATACACCATAGTCTGAATATTTTGCATGGCCAGGACAAACTAAAACTATTTGCACATTGAAACGGAAAGTATTAACTAGCGACAAATCATATTCCTCAGATAGCTGTTACGCTTGTTATTCAGCGTTGCAATTAGTTGCTTTCAGTATTGTTTTCCTTGCACCATAAAGCTGGTAATTAAAGTTGAGAAGATTATATCTCATTCGGTTTTTTCAACAAATAAACAAAGCAAAATATGAAGTTCATTTAAAAGTCAGAAGACAGTCCACAATATACCACCACAGTTATAGATTTATTTTAAATTGCATCAGTTCTTGTAAATGTATGACACAGAAAATCGCACATAGGCGAAGTTTGCTAGATGCACTGGACGGAATACGTCATGTTCGACACAGATCTCTCTAGTCCCCCCCCCCCGCGCGAGAGAGATGAACCTCCAGACTGAGGTTAGCTGCCGTCAAAGTCGAACAATCGACCTAAAATGCCAAATACATACTGTAGCGTCACGGCTTGGCAGCAGCAAGCCGAGTGCAAGGTAGATGGCTGGAGGATCTAAAGATAGAACAAAGAGGGGACTTTCCGACAGAAAATGGTCCGCGGGCCAGGCAGCGCCAGGGAAAGGCTTTCCACCGCGCGGGGGTGGGGAGTAGTGACGTAGGATGTCAGGTAACCTGGACCTATAAAGATGCCGCGGCGAGACGGCGCGGGCGGGTAACGTTTTCTGGTTTCCTCGTGGCTAGACCACAAAAACTTTGTCCGCCCAGGCTGGTGCGGAGTGCCGTGGGCACGTGGTTGTTCGACGAGTTCGGACAGGGCGATGTGTTTTTCAAACACATTCGGGCATATCGTCAGTCTGCCGGGGCACACCAGGTGCCAATCTGCGACGCGGCCTTGCCGGCTGGTCGTAGGCGTCGCCGCAAGGCGCATGTAGGTAGAGGAGGGCTGCAGTGGTAGCTCTGGCAAACTGCCTTAGAGTGAGAGTTGTAAATAGTGTGTAAATAAAACTTGTATATACTCACTCGTGTCTGTTTCCTTGTGGTGTAGATTCCGACACACGACGTTACAATACATACATATTCTACATACAATGGTGTTATGTGTTTTCTTATAACTTGATATATTAAGTTGAAACATCTGAATTACATTTTGTTGTAACATGTGCATGTAAAAGGTTTAAATAGTATATCCCAAGTACTCATGTATATCCACAACAAACTTCTATAAACACTTCTACGAAATCACAGGAATATATAACATTAATGTATTATAATGTTAAAAAATATCAGGAGTTCAACGAAGAATTTCCAATATGCAGCCTGCTTTTAAAAATCGACTGAAGCTGTCCTCAACTTCAGAGAATATGCTCACGCTCTGTCCCAATGCAAATTCAAACCATTACGTCACTAAGTACTATTTTGTTACTAAATGCCACAATTTCTGTGAATGTAACCACTTCTTACCATAATTAAAATCATATACAAAACAAACAATGGGAAATATTAATTTTCCTTGAAGTAATAACCAGCCATAAACAGAGCACTGAACAGAAGGCCATAATTTGCATAAATATTGTAAAATGTTTACCCTCTCTAAAAGACCACGTCGATAATTACACTTATTTTAAAAACAGATCTCATTTTAGAGGCCACTTCACTGCAGAAACAAGAATCCATTTCATTTTGTTTCCATTCCATCTTCGCCTAAAATCCATTAGTCCAATATAACTTCTGGACCCGTCTTCCACCTATTACCGATCACAGGCGCGCGGGCGCGACAGAGACGTGCCGGAGGCTTCGCAGGCTTAATTAGTAATTGCTGCTCGGCGCAGCTCTTCGATTAGAAACTTATCCCGCGCGGAGCATAAGCACTCGGCGCTAATTACAGGTAATCGCGGAACGTGGAAGGCGGGGGCGGTTCAGAGAGGGAGGTGGGGGGAATCGACGCGCACCTGTTACTCGTCTGTGTACGATGGAGACGAGGCAGTAATGGGGAGCTGCGACAGGTAGCTGAGATGGTGGAAAGGCGGTTAATGGCCTAATATGAACGCAATGAAGTAGTTTTTTTTAAAAATAAGATGCCTAATAAAATAGGGCCACAGTGCTTCAGTGGTAGGGCGTCGGCCTTCTGACATGAAGTACCTAGGTTCGAATCGTGACGTCGGATTGGTATCTGGCGATTTCCACAGAGGATGGTTCTGGCGTCAACTCAGACTTTTAAATGAGTACCATGATATTTTCTCGGGGCTAAAGCTGTCTTGGCACTTCCTTCTTCCGGCGACAATTAGGTGGACCCCTACTTTCATTAGTAGTACAATTCATTAGTTATTAAAGATTCTAGATTTTTTAAAAAAAAACATGGAGCCGGATAAGACAGTAAAAACTCAAAATGAAGTACATTTGCACAATTATTTTAATCCAAAATACATTTTCAATTGAATCCTAGCATACTCATCTACAGAAACATTGTTTTTACATTTTATTTTGGTACGTTTTTAAATCGAAAAGCTTCATATTATCTTTTTGCTAATTATATAACTAATTCGTACATGAGTGAAAATATAGTTTTCTACGACAAACATTGCTGATATTTTTGAAAATACCTATCAAGGGTTTGCACGTAACGGTTACTAAAACTATTTTGGCTGAATTGCAGTCAGCAAATATACTTTACACTGTCTTAAGATCTGACGAAGCTCACATCAAAAGGATTTGCAAGAAGTTCAATATAGCTTTTCATGGTCTTAAAATCAAAGTACATAATGTATTGTTTTCTAATTCTATTCCTGTCGTCTTACATGCTTGCGCACACTACCCTACATCAAGACCGGAAAGCGCCAGGTATTTCGCGTTGCCTTTGTGTTGCTGGCTGTTGAGGCCCATTTACAACACAAACATAAACATAACCATGGAGTTAACACAAAAGTTAGGACTACGTCCATAAGCGGACTATTCACAATGCGTTCGCATAAACATAACACGTAAGAAATTAACTTAAAAACTTGCAAGCTTCAAGCTTCTGTGCTTATGCTTAAGTAAGACATCAGAAATAAACCAATCACAGAACGGTAACTCAAAATAGAGAATCGAAATTGGAGCGAAGTCGACAGAATAACTAATGCCATATGGGCCATGGAAAAAGTCGATACCTTGAAATCGATAAAGAAACTCTTATTTTCCTTATGTTTATGTTATACATTGTATACACAGAATGTTTACAGGAAAACGGTGATGTTTTGGATCGTCTCCCTCCCCGCCCACATTTGACAGCGAGCGACTACTCCTTCTATTCTTCCTCCTCCGATACATGCAACATGACTTTAGTCGCTTTAGATATGCCAACATGCTCTAACAACGCTGTAACAGAGCAGCTTCATTTTCAGATTGAATTTCATGTACAAGAAATTTCAAACTTGGAGAAGGACAATGAATAGGAATTAAATGGTTACGGAAATATTTTTCCAAAGGGAAGTTGTTCAAAGCGTGCCTCCAGAACCGGACGTTTTTTCGGAATATCCTTGTTTGTAATAAAAAACAGACGTAATATACGAGGGAGCGACGTAACAAGCTGAAATGTTAATAAAACAGCGCTGGATGTGTCGTAGCTGAAGAAGTAGCAGCAGCAGCAGCTGGAGAGGCTAGCCGAGGAGAAGGAGTAGTGGAGACGGGGGGGAGGGGAAGGGGAAAATGCAGCGAAAAAGAAACTGTTAACGGATTTAAAATCAGTAGGCGGCGACGCGCTGGCGTACGACCGCGGCACGGTCTTTTGCGTTCGGGGGCGTTCGGCTTAATTTAATTATGTAATTTGCTCGGGCTTGGAGATATCGTAAACGCGAGCTCCCGCACACGCTGCGTAGCCGGTCGCTTCGCCCTTCCCGAAGCCTGCCTCTCTCTTTCAGGCATTTTCTCCGCACCATGCCTCGCTCCACAGCTCTGGATGTGCTCGATGCCCGCTGCAGTTCATCGAAAGGTTACCGCTCCGCTAGCGGTGCCGCTCAGACTCGCTTTGCAACGCTGCACCGAGTGCTCCATCGCAGTGCAATGAGCGCGGCAGCGGTAGGCGGCAGATCTTGCGCTCGCAGATACACAGGGCAACACTGGTCTCGCAGCATCACTTACCTGCAATATGGCTTACGATTGACGTAAACTCACTCCGATTGGTTGTTGCTTAGCGCATTGCTTTTCATTGTATTAAGTACATTCTTATCTACTCCATAGAAGCACTTACTCTGAATACGCTACTCGGCTTCGCTATGTTGTCGCTTTGATTCAGTATACTACCCCTTTAATTGTTCTGCTCCACCGCCACCACATCTTCTCTCCATTCTGGTTTATTCCGCTTCTCCTACTAGTGCATTTTTCTGCTTTTCTGTTTGTTCTGTCTTTGCGCTCTCTTTGCTATGTTCTCATCTCGCATCGCTGCTCGCTTCCGCACTGGTAACTATGCTTGGCCATTCACGTATCATTGTCGTGGTGCCTCTTTTCCACAGACTGATTGTTCGACGCTTGCTGTTGCCGTACGCTCTCTCGCAAGCTGCTTCTCGCATGCTGGCTCTTGCGGTTCGTCGCGTTCTCTTATCAATTTGGCCAACTCCTTCAAAACACACGACAATATGAATTATTGCTTAGGGTATCCTACGTCAATTAACGCTATTGCTTCAATTGCATCCTATTTTATATACTAGTACGGCATGGTCTAATCAAGTGTTGTACGCTGCTCTATGTAATGGATGCGTATACATCTTCTATAAAGTTTTCCGATTATCCGCCTGGTGTCTCCTGCTAGAGAGTTTAAATCGCACGTCCATACTAGCTGTGCTTGGCTGTCATGCATTTCTTGCCTTTGGGCGACGTACTGTATAGTTCATAACGCCATTTGGGCTATGATATATCTCAGTATATCAGATCTGCTCTACCTACTCGCGTCTTTGATTCTCACACACCT